AGTCCTTTAATTTTTTATCTTTATATTTTCAAATTTTAGATACAATCTCTTTATCTGTTATTAACCTGTTACGATTTGAAATTTCTTTATGATTTAGTATTGGTACACTATAGATTTCTGGGAATTTACCCATCACTTCTAAATTATCCAGTCTTGGAGTATATGTAGTTGTTTATAACAGTTTTTGATGATCTTAGCACTTCTGTAGTATCAATTATAATGTATCCTCTAATTTATTGGAACGTTCACTTTTTTCTTAGTCTAGCTAATGATGTGTCAGTGTTTAAGTTTTCAAAGAAAAAAAACCCCTTATTCATAATTTTATTGACTTTTTCTGTTGTTTCACTGTTTTTTTAGTGTTTATTTCATTTATTTCTGCTTTTCTCTTTGTAATCTTTACTTTCTGTTAATTGTGAGCTTATTTTGTTCTTCTTTTAGTTCTTTAAAGTATAATATTCAGTAGTTTACTTGAATTTTCTTCTTTTTTATTGTATGTACTTTCTGCTATAAATTTCCTCCTTAGAACTATATTTCATGCATCTTATAAATTTTGGTGAATTGTATTTCTATTTTTTTGCCTCAAGATATTTTCATATTTTTCTTTTTTTATCCATTTGTTCATGAATGTGTGGTTACTGTATACACTTTATTAGAAAATTGAAACCATTTACATCTATAGTAAGTTTCTTGTGTAGAATCTGTAGAAGTTGTGGTGCTCAGTGGATGGATAAACTTTTCCCAGGGAGTCCTCACAGACCTGATTTTGTTGCTAGAAGAGTAAAGGAAGTGGGAAGTACCTGAACTCCCATTCCAGCTCATGGAGGTCTGTTTTCTCCCAGATGCAGGCCAGATAAGAGCCTGATCCTCACATAGTAATTAGAAAAGCATGCAGACAAATGCTTTCCAAGGAGAGACCAGGCAGTCTCTGTCCCTTCCCTGCAGTAATCCTGAGCAGGGTGGCAGTGTAGCCCATGGAAATGCTTAAATTCACTTAACAGATATATCTTTAGCATAATCTTAGGAGACTACTAAATACAAATGCCTTCAGTTGTCAGAACTAGGTGGTTTAGGACCAGCCCTCAGAGGATATCTGTAAAAGTTGGGACACTCAATGAATGTGTGGCCCGAAGCCTAGCTAGAATTGGTAGAACTGAATATGCCACTGATATGAGCCAGAAGACAAACCAAAGGAGAACTGCCAAGCTCCAATTCACCTCCAGGTGGTATATAATTTTTCAGCCCAGTTAACTATGATGTGGATTGGTTAAAAGCTCAACAATCAGCAGTTGTTGGATAAGTGTATTGGAAAACCACTTTCAGGGAAATCTGAGAGCTTTGAGTTTTAGCTCCTTCTCTGCTCTGAGATCACAGTAAGAAGATCCTGGAAGAGTGTACACATGTATAAAACCACCACTTTTCGGTGGTGTAGGTAGGACTCAGGAATGCCTATTTCTTTTTTCTGCCAGAGGTAGAGTGCCATGGTATTAGGTATGTATAGCCAGAAATCCTTTACACCTGATTTTTCCTTTTAATAATTTGTCATCAATTGACTCCCTACTTTGATCCTTAACTATAAATTCCCACTTGCATATGTTATATTCAAAGATGAAGCCAATCTCTATCCCCACTGCAAAACTTCATTGCAGTACTTTCTGTACCTATGGTGATGGTCTTGAATGAAGACCTTCTTATGATATTGTAACATATATCATTGAATAGTTTTTTAATTTAATATTTCTCAGTGCTGCCATCACAAAGTACCAGAGACTGGGTGGTTTTCAATCACAAAAATTTATTTTTTTCACAATTCTGAGAGCCAGCATATCCAAATCAACATGTCAGCATGGCCATGCCCACTCTGAAACCTGCAGGAGAGAATACTTTGCTGCCCCTTTCAGCTTTGGATGGTAGCTGTCAAACCTGGCATTCCTCACCAGGTATCACTTCAGACTCCACTCTGACTTCATGGCATCCTTCCTGTATGGCTGTGGGTCTGTGTCTCTCACGAGGACAACAATCATATTGTATTTGACTTCTCACAGAAGTAAGTGATGACCCTGGGCCCACCTTAACAACTTCATCTTAGCTGGTTATATCTGCAATGATCTTTCCAAAGTGAGATCATATTCACAATACCAGGTGCTAGACCTTTAGTATAGGTTTGGAGGTACATATTTCAACTCATAATGGTATGTAATGAGCATTGTAAATGGACAGTGAAGAAACAGGAGCATCAGGAGCCAAGAGCTTGTGACTCATGGAGACGCAAATTTAAATGTGGGCATTTGACTTTATACGGAGCCCAAAGGCCAAGCTTGGCTTTCTAGAAATAAGAGTTGCCATGATTTGAGTGTGGTTTAGATGCTCCCAAGAGTCTATTGTGATTGAAGGCTTAGTTCTCAGGGTGGTGCTATTGGGAGTTGAAGGAAGTTTTTAGAAGAGGACTTCCTAGTGGAAGTCATTGGGGTATACACTCGGAAGGTATTTCTCAGGGGACTCCTTGGGAGTTCTTAAAGGAGGATCATTACAAAAGTTTAACTTTGGGCCTATGCATCCTTCAATTTTCTTCTTGCCTTAAAATGTGACTGCTTGCCCTGGCATGCAGTTCCACCATTTCCATCTAACTGTCATTCTCTACCAGGTTCTCACCAGGACTGAGCCAGTACAGGCTCTGTGACTCTGAATCTCCAAATATGTGAGCTAAATAAAATTTTATCTTTACAAAACTATCTGTTCTGGTTAGTTTTCTCATTGCTAAGATAACATACCTGACATCCAAAGTAAAAAAAGGAAAGGTTTATAGAGGTTTCAGTTCACAGTTGCCTGGCTCCAAGGCAGGGTGGCATGGCAGAAGAAAAAAAGTTTGTGGCAGGCAAAAAGCAGCAGGCAGCAAAGTGTCAAAGTATCGACCAGTGATAGCATCCCTCTTTCTGTCCCTTATAATTTATCCAGGATACATGACCTTAAGGTGGGTAGTACTCACATCTAAGGTGGGCCTCCCTATTATCCACACCCAGAACTGTGCCAAATCACTCAGTGGATAATTTAGTACTCACACACCCTTGATCCCAGCATAACACACTCTAGATCCAGCCACATCTGAAAAACCCAATATGTGATCACATAAAGCATTGGGAGGATTTTTTTTATTTTAAAAATAAAAGGAGGAAAACATTAACAGACAGACAACCTTTTACAAAATA